TACCCTGTTACAAGAATTACTTTTGAAAATATATGTTGAAGTGAATTTTTTTTTGGGTTTTAGTTAGAAGAAATGTAGATGAAATTAAATGGATCAGTATTCTTTTAGTTTGAAATGCCTTTTCTTCTTTGTATTGACTTCATATATTTTTTATTAGATTTAGATGCCACTGTATCTTTCAGAAACAGATCACTATCTAATTTGGTCCTCTTTTCTCACTCAGACCTGTCATGTGCTGGAGAAGATTGATCTGGAGGATTGTGTGCTTATCACAGATGCCACACTAAGCCATTTGGCATCTGGATGTCCTCGGCTTGAAAAACTTGTAAGTATAAACTATTTGGAATCCCAGCAGGGGAAAAAATAAACTTTGGTCTTATTTGACTATTACATTTTTTGTTAGCTATATAGAAACAAAATGTGAGAAGTGGGGTTTAATATTTAAAAGCATAGGTGTGGCTTAGCTCAGAAGTTGCCAACTAGGATATTCAACAAAGTGCAGTAGGGCTAAGTCAAACTACCTTGGACACGATTAATCACAACCCAGCGTGACATTGCCCAACAGTTAGACAGACCTGACACTAAACAGATTAATGCCATCCTGCCCTTGACAAAGTCCCCCACAGAAGACTGATGCTCTAATTATAGTATTATGGAATCGCCTTTCTGATGTGTAGGCCTCTTCTGGTGTTCTGCATGGCACTGTTCTTGCTCCTTTTCTTTTCTTCTACACATTTATGACCTGCTATCCATACCTACTCTTCCAATGGAGTTTTTGCCAATGACAGTTCGGCCAGTCAATACGAAAGATAAATGCAGACCCCTCCAACCTGACATATATGCCCACAGTGGGAAAAGTCTTGGTAAATGACTGCCAGACCATATAAGTGCAAAGTACTCCAATTCACTAGATCACATACACCAATACAATACACTAACACTCTAGACAACCAACTGCTGACACTCATATAACATCCTACAAATACCTTGGAGTACACCTCACACGAAACCTTACCATTAATGCACACATTAACTTTATCACAAATAAAGCAAACCGAACACTGAGGTTCTTAAGGAGAAACCTTCACTAGGTACACAGTTACACATAGTATTACAACACACATAAAAAACAACATAAAACAGACCTGCTAATGACACTATTACAGGCACATAGACTTAAATCATGTACAAGATTGCTAACACTTATTGACATTAACATGCACAAGAAATATACACAACAGCAGGTTCCTTACATAACACACCAACACTGACTCTTACAAGCACTTATTCTTCCCATTCACCATATGCAACTTGAACAGGCTACCTCATGACATTATAGAAACAAGAACATTTAAAATTTTTCAAGACAAATTAAACAAACACACAATTAAACGCATACACAATTAAGCACATACACAAATACTACAGTCTACATTTTAATCCCTTCCCCTACCCCCAGCACCAACCATATATTTGTGATCTGGGCTTAGCAGAACCCTACACATGAGATAGTGATAGTGTTGTTAACATTGTGATTATTATAATATTATGATAAAAATTAGATGTAAAATAAAAAAAGAACCTTGGTGATTAATCGCTTGTCGAAGCCATCTGTGTATAAAGACAGTTAGGAAACAAAACAACAGTGGACATGGCAATTATTCTTGCTATCTTGGCAACACTGACTTAAAAGTATCTGTACCAGAAGAGTTGATGTGTTATCTATTTATTTATTTATTTTACTTTTTCTGAACTACCATGCATTGGTTTAGATTTCTTTCTTTTTCTTGTCTTTTCATCTAATGGATATTTTTAGTTACCATGTTGCCTCATGGCTTGCATTTTCAGGTTCTTTATATTTTTAGAATGGATAATAATATTTAACCCAATGCAGTCAGGCATGACGTGTATGTATGTGCTATGCCCACAGTGAGTACTTGTTTGATTATTTTTATGCATAGATGGCTACACTTGTACTAAGTCATCAATGAGCCAGTTACGAGTACTGCCTGTCTCGCCCGTTTACCCTTTTCTTTGATTTACAAAAATATTTTACGCTATCCTATTTTGCTGGTACTGATGTTTATTACATAGTAATTATAATGTTTATAATAAAAATAACACCAACGATATTCATAGCACTAGTAAGAAATATGTTTTTCCTGCCAATTCAAATCATGTAAGGTCACAAGTTCTGCTAATTGATTCCTTTGTGGCTAAGCACTAGCAGAGCCATCTATGGGCAGACATTTCACCAAAGAATATAGAAAATGAGCACTGCATTTTCCCCATTTTTTATTCATTTTCCCCAGCAGCATTGGGTTAATTGACACATGTTGTAAATAACAATATTTTGGGGGAATAAATAATGCATTGTATATTCTTCATACTCTGATTGATGTTATGAAGAGGTACTTAATATATATAAATAAATTTTTTTGCTCTTTTCTTTCCAGAGTCTTTCTCATTGTGAACTTATAACAGATGAAGGTATACGGCACCTTGGGGTATCCGCTTGTTCCACTGAACACTTAGCTGTTCTGGAACTTGATAACTGTCCACTTATCTCAGACGCCTCTTTGGACCACCTCCTCTCGTGCCACAATTTACAACGCATTGAGCTCTATGACTGCCAGCAAATCACCCGTGCCGGCATCAAGAGACTCAAGGTAAGGGTTTTTCTCTTGTGTTTTTGTCCTTTTTGTGTGTTTTATTGGCAAGACTTAGGAGATGGAAGTAGGCAAATAGGCAGGCTGTTTTGTGGGTTTGTTTTTCAAATTTTTGATTAAGAAACAGATGGCCAAGATTTGCATATGTGTAAAAGAAATGTTCATTTTTCATTTAGTTCCATTCTTTGATATCTTATTTCTATTTCTTTTCTTTCCAGAGCCACCTACCCAATATAAAAGTGCATGCATACTTCGCCCCCCAGACACCACAGCCTGCAGAGGGCCGTTCAAGGCAACGGTACTGTCGGTGTTGCGTCATTCTCTGAGGTCACAAAGTTGTGAGGCCTTTAACCAGTTAGTATCTCCAGGGTGGGATGGGGTGGGGGGGAGTGGGAAAATGATGATTACATCAGGTTCATCATTCTTTGAAGGTTGAATAGCGGCTAACATCATCGCAGGAAGAGGAAAAGTGGTTAAGCTCCTCTTAGTTGCGATTATTTTCTTCCGGCCTGAGATGTTTAATCACCGTTGCCTATTTATTGACCTGATTGCCCCTCAAGGGGAGAAAGCCCTTATCCAAAGGCTTTATTCAACTTTTTTGATTCCAGTTATCTAAAAAAAAAATATATTACTGAAAACATTGTATGCTCTGTGAGACATACACAGAAAATGGCTTTTTTCAGAAAAAAAGCTCATCTAATCTCTGCAGCTGTGATCCTGAAATCACTTAGTCAAAACACACTATGTATTTTACTGTATTTGCTGTATAGCTGATTGGTAAACGAGAAGCATTTGCCACCCATTATTTTCTTGAGGTATGGAATGCATGCATATGTGAGTGGGTGAATGTACACGAAGGAGAGAACAGGCAAAATCAATGCAAGATGAGGAAGGGCGTGAATGAAAACATTTGTAAGTGCAAGAACTCAGGAGATTGGTGGAAAAAGTAAGAGTGAAAGCCAAAGAAGTGAATGGGAAACTGAGGAATTGGAGTAGGGAATGATAGACTGGAAGTGCAATTAAGAATGTTAAGTAGTAATAAATGAATGTAATGAATAAATGAATAGTTATAAATGAGTGATGGACTTGTGTATGGATGTGTGTGCATGGATGTGTGGGTAAGTGCCTGTGTGCTGTATATATGTATGTATGTGTGCGTGAATAAGCATATGAATAAGAAAACAAATGATGGTGTTTGTATGTTAGTGTATAGATATATATCTTTATATGTATTATTCAGTCAGTAATCTGTGTGTGTGTGTGTGTCTGTGTCTGTGTCTGTGTCTGTGAGTGTGTGTGTGTTAGAGAGAGAGAGAGAGAGAGAGAGAGAGAGAGAGAGAGAGAGAGAGAGAGAGAGAGAGAGAGAGAGAGAGAGAGAGAGAGAGAGAGAGAGAGGGGGGGGGGGTAAAGAGGTAGAGGGAGAGGGAGAGTTTGTACATGCGTGTCTATGTTTTGCATGTGAGTAGGTGTGTATTATATGAGCATGAGTGTGTGCATATCTATGTGTGTGCAAGGAAGTATGTATAAGATATGCATTTATATATTTTTGAGGCATTAGGTATTGCTATATGCATCCACAAACCCATATGTAGGCAGGATTTTTGTAACCTGTTTTGGCCAATGTTTGGTACAATATCATCCAGTGTTCACTGTGTTCCTGCCACTTAAAAGAAAAAAAAAAGATTACTGTGCTTTTTTAGTGACACGGTTTGACCAGGCTGTGTAATGTTAATTAATTGTGATGATATTTTGCAATATCTCATGTTTTGTTTGCCATAAGGAAGCAGGCTGATGGTTTCTCAGCAGTCGATGAAATTGTAGAGTGATGAAATCTACATTCTTTATTACTTTCCGTTTTGTGAGTGAAAAAGGAGTGTGAGTTTGATTACCATGCTGGACATTTCCCGTCTGGCTCTTGTTGGAACTAGAAGATCTGTGTTACTTTGATACTATTCAAGGTTATGTGTAGTGCTTTCTTTACTTCTGTTTTCATGTAGATATATATATATATATATATGGATATATATATATTTTTAACTTATTGGGTTTCATTTTATGGAAATCTTTCAAGGAAGAAAATCTACAGGTTTGCTTTGAGCCGTTGTGAATTTGTTGATCGTTCTTTTCTCAAGTAGAGATTTGAAGGAGAGATGATCACTTTTATATAGATTTTTGTATCTTGATTTTTGAACATGTCTAAGGATGTTTGATTGTAAGAGGATTGGCTGTTATTTAATGGTGATTTTTGAAAGATAATGTGGAAAAATCAAATCAAATTTATGGAGAGTATCTTTACTTTTACATGTTTCTAAACCAGTGAAATGAAAAAAA